TGTTTTTCCATTTGTGTTTCAGTATTGGCCATATCAAACAATTTCAGCTAAGAGAAGAAAGAGTAAAGTAATTAAAATAACTTCCCTTGATATATATGGGAGGTAAGTAGGTGCAGCTGTTGGCCTTTTTTGTTTGTTTGTTTCAAACCACTTTTTGTTCTCTACTTTGGGTACTTGGAATTCTCATTTTCTGATGCAACTTTTGTCCATGGATGTGAAACTGATTCTAGAAGCCTCAAGTTCCGAAAAGGAAGCTTCCTCTGCTATTGTCTGAATGTTTGTGTCCCCTCCAAAATTCATATGTCAAAAACCCTAGCCTCTAAGGTGATGCTATTAAGAGGTGGTCTTCAGTGGCTGATTGGGTCATGAAGGTGGAGTTCTCACGAATGGAATTATTGCCCTAGTAAAAGAGACCCAGAGAGCTTCCTTGTCTTTTTCACTATGTGAGGACAGTGAGTGCCATCTCTAAACCAGAGAGCAGACTCTCACCAGACAGAACTGGCCAGAACCTTGATCTTAGACTTCCCAGCCTGCAGAACTGTGAAAAATGCATTTCTGTTGTTTTTAAGCCACCTAGTCAAAGGTATACTGAGACACCCTCATTCTCCTCTTGTCACTCTGACATGAATCTTGCAGTAAAATTCTGCTAAAGGTAGGGATGGGGCAGGGGCTGATTCTAATCCTGGAGAAAGCGTTGCCCTTTCTGAGGAGTAAGAGCTGAGCTCAGAGGTCACTGAGGCATGAGCCCCTGAGTCAGAGGCAGGAGAGAAGAGAGGAGAAAAACTGGGAGAAAGAAAAAGGGCAAACAAAGGAAGAAAATAGGCAGCAGAGAAATGGATGGAAAAGGGAGAAACAAAAGAGACAGATAGAAAATAAATGAAAGCCGGGTGTCGTGGCTCACATTTGCAATCCCAACACTTCAGGAGGCTGAGGTGGGTCAATCACTTGAGGTCAGGAGTTTGAGACCAGCCTGGCCAACAGGGTGCAACCCTGTCTCTACTTTAAAAAAAAAAATTAGCTGGGCAAGGTGGCGCATGACTGTAATCCCAGCTACTTGGGAGGCTGACACAGAATTTCTTGAACCTGGGAGATGGAGTTTGCAGTGAGCAGGGATCCAGCCACTGTACTCCAGCCTGGGCAATAGAGAATCTGTCTCAAAAAAAGAGGAGAGAAAGTAAGAAAGAGAGAGAGAGAGAGAAAGAAAGAAAGAAGATTGAGTACCTTCTATTTGCCAGCCACTTTGCTAGACTCTTTAGATTTGCTAATCCCCCTTATTCCTACAAAACCCCCTAAATTAGATGTTACTGCTTACAGCTTAGAGAAAATAGAGACATAGGGTAATTTTTCTATCTAGTATACAACTGGAGCTGCTGTGGTGGGGAGCCATGTTTGAATTACTGCTCATTAGCAACCAGGGATTGCAAAATCCAATTCCTAAAAGGAAGCAAGTGGGTAACATGAAGGTGTGATTTGGATTGAGTGTTGGGAACTATGGCCAAATGGAATATGTTTGCACCAACTGAAAGCATTCCACTTTGTAAAAGCTTTAAGGCCTGTGCTGGTTTTCCAAAACCCTTCTGGGTGCCAGCTGATAGAACTTCAGTTTAAGACCTCTGAATAATGCCCTAATCTAAGCCAATTCCTGCCATTCTTGCTCTTCAATACTCTTCCTCCTTGTTGTCCTCCCAAAACCTTGTTTCCCTTTTCATTCTTCTCTCTTTCCTCTCATTTACAAAGGCTCATTGTAATTAAGAATATTCTGTTATTCCTTCTAATCCACCAGAATGCCTGGGTCAGTTAATTCCACCTCCTTTGCTTTTTAACTCTACTAACATAAACATAGTAGATTTTAACTTGTTGGAATAAAAGCTCGTTTCATTTAGAATATGAGTGATGGAAGAAACCTCAGAAATAATAAAATCCGGGACTGTGATTTTCCCTTCAAAGAATTTAAGGGTCAAGCGTCACACGGCTTTCTCAAAGTCATATGGGTTTCCCAAGGTCATAGGGGTTTCCCAAAGTCATTTGGCTTTTTACCAGTGTAGCCAAACATTAAAGCTAAGTGTCCTCATTCTTCCTGAAGAACAATTTCTCCAATCCTTTTACTCAAGTAATGCAGAAAATTTCTGCTTATTAATTATGGCAATTAGTAAAAGAAATGGTTTGAGATGGCAAACATATGGGGAGAAGGGATGATAAGTCATATTTATATAGAGTGGAGTTTCACCATTTAAAATCTCAGGACAAGCGCGGTGTCTCACGCCTGTAATCCCAGCACTTTGGGAGGCCAAGGTGTGTGGATCACCTGAGGTCAGGAGTTTGAGACCAGCCTAGTCAACGTGGTGAAACCCCACGTCTACTAAAAATACAAAAATTAGCCAGGCATGTTAGTTCCAGCTACTCAAGAGACTGAGGCAGGAGAATCCCTAGAACCTGGGAGGTGGAGACTGAGGTTGCAGTGAGCCAAGATCGCCCCACTGCACTCCAACCTGGGTGGCAGAGTGAGGCTCCAACTCAAAACATATATATATCTTATTTGCTCATTAGAACAAGCTTTGGAGAGGGGAAGAAAATATATAATTCCCACTTTACTTGACAGGTGGAGAAATGGAGACTGAAAAAGAATGAGTTATTTGTCTGAAGTTACATCCTAGGAAAGTTAGAATAAGAAATCCAGTCCCTGGCCCTTACTTTAATTCCCTTTCCATTATGTCACTCTGTTTCTGTTTTTCATAAGGAAATTTGTACTTATGGGCGTCAATGCTGTGTGTTTATTTTACTTGTGATTTGCTCATTTGTCTTACAATCATAAAAGCTACTTAGTACTTAGTATAGTGTCCACTCTCTTTGGACCCCTGATACTTGCATGTGACCAAGTCCAGGCTAGCTTTCTGGAGGGGAGCCCAATTGTAACAGCTAAAGTCTTCCTAGACCAGCCCATAGCCAGCTAATCTGTAAACATATGACAGAAGCCAGCCAAGAACTTCAGAGCTGCCTCTTCAAAATACAATTGAATATGGAGGCATGAATGAGCCCAGTCAAGACCACAAGTATATTCAGCTGACCTGGACACATGTGAGCAACAACAAGTTTTTATTACTTTAAGATATGGAGTTTTGGAATGTGTTCTTATGCAGCAGTAGCTAACTAATATAATGTCTTATTTTAGGGGTTTGTGTCACAGATTTGACATAGACAAACCACCATTGTTTCTACCAATTGCTCAGTTGGTTTTAAAGGATGATAAATTTGAAACCTACCTTTCAAAAACCCTCTAACTTGATATTTAAAAGTTGCTAGACTGCTTGCCTGACTGACTTACGGACTGTGTAGCTTTGTATGGTGATAATATGAAGTATTGGTTGCTAGGGCACTGTGTATGAATGGGCTATTATGAGACATAAAACCTTATCTGGCTGCTGAAATGTTAGTTCACAGCAGTGAAATGTTTTAAAAATACCAGGTCATTTTATTAAAACAAGTTTTAATTTCTTCCTGGGTCATGAGTTTTAGGTCTCTTTATGAGGAATTGAAGGAATCCAAAAGGCCTGAAAAAATGAACCCAGAATATAGAGTAGAATATTTGTTACTGTCTTAAGCAATGCCTTCTCAATCAATAAGGCAACATTGCTTCCAAAGGAAATAAAATTGGTTTTTGGTGTGTGTGTGGTGTTGTGGGTAGGGATAGGGCAGGATTTTAGATGTTACAATGGCCTTTGGCCCATCAAAGGACCAGACTAAGTTATAAAGATATATAGGATATCATAGTGTTGGAATTTTATCAACTGGGGGTAGAATGGGAAGGAGATTATTATAAAAACATCTAAAAGGTCTCCTTAAGGGGCAATAATGAAGAAAGGTTTGAGGAACACTGTTCTAAACAGAGGCTAATATCAAATTGTCATGGCTGATAATTTCTTCATCATATCCCTCTTACATTATTTATTTTTTATCTTAATTTATATCCTTTAATGCTTCTGTTTCTATTTCCCATTTTTCACTCAAAACCCGTCAGAGTAGAATTATTACTCATATTGTCATCATGACCACCATTATTTACTCTTTGTAAGGTGCCACTAGCAAACACTCTCTGGATGAACATGTTCCACCTGGCACAAGTTCTCTATTCTTGTTTCCATGGCATCTCTTAATATACGAGTCTCTTAAACCTTGCTAGTTTAGCAGCAGGTAATAAGAAAACAGCTTATCAGTGTAACTAGAAAAAGAGGTAAGAAACCATTTTCATATTGTTGTCTGCTGGGGATGGGATCTCCCTTCCCCAATTTCATGTTTCCATGTAAAGGAATTTCCACCAGAATAACACTTCTGGTCTTTTTCCATTCTCTTACCCAGTCCTCTGAAGGACAGGAGAAAAGACTCAATCAATAGGTGAGTTCAGAAGAAGCTCAATTCCAGTTGGTCTTAAGTTGTCCTATGGTGCCAGCTTGCTAGCAAAGAGCATTCATTCTCATCCCTTTCATTACGTAAGATTTTCAGGAACAGGCCCCCATGGGGCCACGGTGTTTTCCCAAGTTCCTGTAATTCATACACAGATTCCACTCCAGAAGCCATATTGGGGAGCAGACAGAAAGCACTTTCCTATATTTAGCATTTTTCAGCCATAAAAGTCATACTTTGAATTCTGATTAATGTCTGCATCCAACTCCTTGTTGGTTCCAAATTTGGGTGAGTTAAAAAATGGGTGCTAGACATTAACTTCCTTAAATTCCCACATGAATTTTCCTTGGAAGAAATTTTCCTAAAGTTGAAATAACGTTTTCCAGTTCAACCTCTATACACAGCCTCTCCATTAGACCATAGAATGGCTGGATTCCATAATTCATACCACCTACAATGGCTCACCCCATGTCCTGCAAAAAGTTAAATGCACACATCCCTGGATTTTATTAAAGTGGTCACCAGTGAGTCAGGTGTGACAACTTTCTGCCTAATATTGCTATCCTGTAGTGTTCATGATGTGAGAGTCAAAGACTCTAAGAGGGAGAAGTTCAGTATTCTCTTCCCTTATCTGCAATGCAATTCCTTCATATAGTTATTCAACAAATATGTATGTGTTATCGGCAGCAAATCCATACAGATCTGCAGCAACCTCAATTCTTGCCTCCTCAGAAGAAGGAATTTGATGGAGCAGGCATAAGGCAGAAGGAGAGACTGAGGCAAGTTTTAGACCAGGAGTGAAAGATTATTACAAAGCTTGAGCACAGGAATGAAAGGAAGTAAACACTTGGAAGAGGGCCAAAAGGGTGATGCGAGATCAAGTCCATGGTTTGACCTTTTAATTTGAAGTTTTTTATGTTGGCATGTTTCTGGGGTCTTATGGTCCTTCTCCCCTGATTCTTCCTGCGGGGTGGGCTGTCTACATGTGCAGTCGCCTGCTGGCGCTTGGGAGGGGAGCATATGCGGTGTGTTTACTGGAGCTGTACACATGCTTAGTTGAGGTAGTCTTCCCTTACCAGTCAAATATTCCTAGAAGGTCATATGCCAGCTAAACTCTGATTTTTTTCCTCTTAATGCACATGCATGAGCCCCATCACCCAGCTCCTGAGATCTTCTTGGGGAGCTGCTGATCACCAGTTTCAGGTGTTTCTGTTTATTGAGAAACTGCCTTTCCCTGGTGCTGGCTATGACCAATTGTTACTTTAGAGAGACAGTTAACAACCGCCTGACCATCACCCAATGGTCACCTGACATTCCTGGGGTGTGTGTTTGTGTGTGTGTGCGCGAGGAGCCCTCTCCTGCTCTGCTCATATCTAACTAGCTACCTACTGTAACATATGCAGCGCACATAAGTACTCTCCTTTTACTTGCTACTCTAGACTCTCTTGTGGCAATGGAAGTCCACAAGACACATTTGTAAATTATGAAACCTAAACAGACCTCTGCTGTGCTACTTCTGGAAAAACTTTTGCTTTCATGGAAAAAAGGATAAACTTGGCTGGTGTTTCCATTTCCTGACTTGATTATAAGCCTGTTACCTGGAAGCACGGTAGCCATCTTGCACCTATGAGGTTATTAATAATGATAAAGAAGAAATAAAACAGTCATGAGCTAAGGATGTTGAAGCAGCAAGACAGAAGGGCCAGAATTCCTATTTGCAATTTAAACTGTGTGAATCACAGCCACCAACTGGCTACCTCCAGATTCCTTTGTACTTTGAGCAGGCAGAGAATAAACCTTTCTTTGTTAAAGCCATGCTAGTCAGGCTTTTGTCACTTGTAGTCAAAAGTTTTTCCAGTAGAAAACATGTAACAATGGCTAAGACATTGATTCTACTCTGAAGCTGCCCAATGTCTACAGTCACTTCAATGTAGGTGAAAGAGTTATGATAAAAATAAATACAGGAAGAATGAATATAGAAAGCAGGCCAATAACTCAGTCTAGACTAAGCCTTTGGAAGAGTTAAGGATAATATCTGGAAATAAGAAGGAGTAAATTAGGGCTGGGTGCAGTGGCTCATGCCTGTAATTTTGGGAGCCAAAGCAGGAGAATTATTTGAGGCCAGGAATTTGGGACCAGCCTAGGAAACACAGCAAGACCCAGTCTCTACAAAAAATTTTAAAAGTTAGCTGAATGTGGTGGCATGACCCTGTAGTTTTAGCTACTAGGTAAGCTGAGGCAGGAGGATTCCTTGAGGCCAGGCATTTGAGGTTGCAGTGAGCTACAATAATCATGCTACTGCATTCCATCCTGGGTGATAGATCAGGACCCTGTTATTTATTTATTTATTTAATACAGAGTGTTGCTCTGTCACTCCGGCTGGAGTGCAGCAGTGTCATCTCGGCTCATTGCAAACTCCAACTCCCAAATTTAAGCGATTCTCCTGCCTCAGCCTCTAGAGTAGCTGGGATTACAGGCACCTACCACCACACCCGGCTAATTTTTGTAATTTTTAGTAGAGACGCGGTTTCACCATGTTGGCCAGGCTGAGGTGGTCTCAAACTCCTGACCTCAAGTGATCCACCCGCCTCGGTCTCCCAAAGTGCTGGAATTATAGGCATGAGTGACCTTGCCCAGTGATCCTGTCTTAAAATAATAAAAATTTAAAACATTATGAAAGAAGAAATACGTTAGGTAAAAGGTTAAGGGAACTTAAGACAGAGGCCCAGCTAGAAAAGATAGCAACAAGATAATAGAGTCAGAGGAGAGAAGAGTAAAGCCAAATGAAGATGGAGAGATGAGACATAACCAAGGGCCAGAGATGAGTCAAATCAAGCCTACCCCCTAGTGAAAATATCGTCCTACTTATCATACCTTGAGTGGCAGAAGGATATTGGGACCACTATACATCATGAGTAAAGGATTATGTTTAATTATTATTTCCTACTGGTGTCCTTTCTATTAAGAAATATGTCTCCTTTTACATACCAATAATTTTTTGTGATGATTTAATATACAAATCTCATAAGCTTTCCGTAATCCTTGCTGGGGATAATCCAGAAACCAAGCTGTCTCAGATGCTTAGCAATAAATATTATATTCAATATTTTCCTGTAAAAACATGTTTTAGACTCAAATCTGTGTTTTATCTTCTTTGAAGGTCTCCAAAGTCTTCAGGCTTTTATGATCCAGTTCTCTTTTTGCCTTTGGTGATGGCTGAGTGAATCAGGAGACTCAAGGAATCTACTGGTTATTCTTGCCTGAAAGGAGGGAATGTGGAGGCTTAATGTGGCCTGGCGGCCAGAACCAAGCAACCCTAAAGAGGATGGTGTTTGGAATGATCTTGGCTTGATTATTCTCCTTTCAGCTCCTTTTATTTTATTGACAACAAACATTAACTTCCACCTGCCCGTGATTGCTTAATGAACATCCCCCAAATTTAGTGTGTTAAAACAACCACTATTTATTTAGCTCACAATATGGTGGGTCAGTTCTTGGTTCACATTTGGCTTATCTTGGCTGGGCTTGCTCATGCACTTGTTGACAGCAAGTGATCTGGAGCTATCTGCATTTGTGATGCTCGGGGTTGTCATAGATGGGCTAACTGGCATCTTTTCTGCATGGTCTCTCAACCTCCAAGCTTTTCATATAGTAGTTTCAGGTTCCAAAAGCAATAAATGAGCAAGCTCCAATGTGTAAGTACCTTCCAAGTGTTTTAGTCAATTTACTGTTGCTATCAAGAAATATCTGAGGCTGGGCTGTTTATTTTAAAAAGAGGTTTATTTGACTCACCGTTCTCAGGCTGTACAGGAAGCACAGCACCAGCATTTGCTTTGGGTGAGGGCCTCAGGAAGCCTCCACTCATGGTGGAAGGCTAACATGTGTGACAATCACATGGCAAGAGAGGAAGCCAGAGAGAGAGGGCAGGTACCAGGCTCTTTTTTACAACCAACTTGGGAACTAATAGAGTGAGAACTCACTTATCTTCTCCCCCAGGGAGGGCATTAATCTTTTCATGAGGAATCTGCTCCCATGACCCAAATACTTCCCATTAGGCTCCACCTCCAACATTCAGGATCAAATTTTAACATGAGAATTGGAGGGGGCAAACATCCAAACTATAACACTGTGTTTCTGCTTATGTTTGCTACTGTCTCACTGGCTAAAGCAAGTGGCGTGGCCAGCATTGTCTTCAAGAGAGTGGAGAAACAGATTTCTCTTTTTTTTTTTTTGAGACGGAGTTTTGCTCTTGTTACCCAGGCTGGAGTGCAATGGCGCGATCTTGGCTCACCGCAACCTCCGCCTCCTGGGTTCAGGCAATTCTCCTGCCTCAGCCTCCTGAGTAGCTGGGATTACAGGCACGCGCCACGATGCCCAGCTGATTTTTTGTATTTTTAGTAGAGACGGGGTTTCACCATGTTGACCAGGATGGTCTCGATCTCTTGACCTCGTGATCCACCCGCCTCGGCCTCCCAAAGTGCTGGGATTACAGGCATCTTGCAAAGTGTATGGATGCTAGAGGGGGCATAACTTGTGGTCACTTTTGGCAATCAGCCAACCACAGTGGCATATTGAAATCAATTGGGGATGATGCCTGAGGTTTAGGCACCACACCTAACCAATTACATCAGAATTCCTAAGTGTTGGACTTGTTGTCAGTGTTTTATTTTTTGTTTATTTAGTTTTGCTAATGGCCTGGAGTGCTTCCTCTAGCCTGGGGCACCAGTTTATAGAATAGAGTTAGGCCCTTTGAGAAACTTACTTTACAGTTGGTAAATTTTTCAATAGTTCAAGGCTTTTTGATATGCCAGAATGATTTTGGTGTAGCTGACTCGGCAGGTCCGTTCCGATAAAACAGTCAAGACTTGTTGGTCTCTGTAGACCAGGTTTCTTAAAACTTTAGTGTGCATCAGAGTTACCTGGAAGTCTTTTAAAAATAGACTGCTGGACCCCATCTTCAGAGATTCTGACTGAGTAGGTATGGGGTAAGGTCCGAGAATGTGCTCTCTGACAAACACTCAGGTGATGCTGCTCCTGCTGACTGGGGATGATAGTTTGAGAAACTGCTCATGCAAATACTGCCTCGATTAAGTATGATACATAACCATGCTTGGTCTCATTGCCCTGTAGAAGCGCTGTGGCTAAAGTGACCTTTGCAGTAGTTTTCAAAATCTATAACCCCGGGGCATTTAGGTTTTTTTGTTTGTTTGTTTGTTTGTTTTTTGAGACAGAGTCTTGCCCTGTCGCCAGGAGCCAGGCTGGAGTGCAGAGGCACGATCTTGGCTCACTGCAACCTCTGCCTCCCGGGTTCAAGCGATTCTCCTGCCTCAGCCTCCCAAATAGCTGGGACTACAGGCACATGCCACCGCGCCCAGCTAATTTTTGTATTTTTTTAGTAGAGATGGGGTTTCACCATGTTGGCCAGGATGGTCTCGATCTCTTGACCTTGTGATCCGCCCGCCTCAGCCTGCCAAAGTGCTGGGATTACAGGTGTGAGCCACTGTACCTGGCCACATTTAGTATTTTTAACGAGTAAGTAATCACTACTGCAGGGGAAGGAACCTCCCCTGGGACCAGAGATGGTTCCAGTTGCCTGAGACCATTAAAAACCTCAATAGGACTCCCACTTAGCTAACAATTCCATGCTTTGCCTTCCCTTGCAACTTCTATTAAATTATCAGAAAAGATGAGGATTTGAAGTAGCTGCAGCAAAGAAGCCTGAAGTCTTCAGTCCCCAATAATAAAAGTCAGAGCTATTACAGTGAATTCAGTCATCCAGTTAACAATATCAGCCACAACGCACGAAATAGCTCAGATGAATCCCTGGGGAGTCTATGAACCTGAACTTCTACCAATTGGGAGCTAGTAAGAATAGCGACAAACCACTTGCTCTTTTTGAGATAAGAGCAAATGTTTTTTAAGTGCAATATTTGTAGCTCATGCCTTGATCATAATGAACAAAATACCCTGATTTATCCTGATAATTGCAATGAAGAATGAAGGAGCTCTATCAGTGTTGGCCAGAAAATTATTTTCTATTCTTTAATGTAATCAGGAATGTATTTATAAAATATGCACTCCATCTGAGTATTCCCACTTATTAGGTAACAGGACTTCAATAGTCTGCTAGGCCAGCAGCTCACTCTCTATGGGAATTTCCAAAGGAGAGAAGGATGGTTTTATATAACATGTGTGCCATTGCCTAATACTCTGATTTTCTCCTCAAACTGACATTGCCAGCTTTGCCAGAGCTTGATACCTTAACCCTAACCCCAATTAATTTAATCAGTGATCAGCTTGGGTCACTGAGATGATGCTAATCTGCCCTTGGCCTCTAATTATTTATTCTCCTTGGGGGCTTCTGTCTTTCCTTATTCCACATGCCCCTGAGTCTCCAATGTTTGTTTCTCTGGTTGGCCAGTCGAGAAAACTTTCTCCCTCGGAACTTCATTTCTTTTGAAAATAAGGTCCTGTAGCAGAGATGTTTGGGCCTCAATTAATCTAACTACTTCTGTTTTATCATATAACCCTTTCCTTCCATGTACTTATAGGAATGACCTGGAGACACTAGTTCAAGTATACATTAATGTGATAATAATAATAACAATAATTATGATATCACAATAATAAAAGTAACTATTATTAGGGAACACTATAATATCCTGAGTTTCTCCAATGTTTTCTTGTAATAGTGTCATAATTTCAAGTCTTAGATTTAAGACTTCAATATATTTTTATTTTATTTTTGTATGTGGTGAGAGATAGGGGTCTAGTTTCATTCTTCTGCATATGGATATCGAGTTTTCCTAGTATCATTTACTGAAGAGATTGTCGTTTCCCCAGTGTATATGTTCTTGATACCTTTGTTGAAAATGAGTCCACTGCAGGTGTGTGGATTTTCTTCTAGGCTCTGTGTTGGGTTCTATTGTTCTACGTGTCTGTTTGTACGCCAGTATCATGCTGTTTCAGTTTCTATAACTCTGTAGAGTAATTTAAAGACAGTTAATATGATTTCTCCAGTTTCATTCTTTTTTCTCAGGATAGCTGTGGCTCTCCTTCGTCTTTTGTGGTTCTATATAAATTTTAGAATTATTTTTTCTGTTTCTGTAAAGAATATCATTGATATTTTGATAGGGATTGCATTGAATCTGTAGATTGATTTGGGTGGGATGGCCATATTAGCTGTATTGATTCTTCTAATCCATGAACACAGAATAGCTTTCCATTTTTAAATTTTTAATTTAATTTATTTGTGCTATTATCAATGAGATTACTTTCTTGATTTCTTTTTCAGATTGTTCACCATCGGCATATAGAAATGCTACTGATTTGGAATGCTGATTTTTGGTCCTGCAACTTTACTGAATTGGTTTTTCAATTCTAATAGTTTTCTGATAGAGTCATTAGGATTTTCCAAATACAAGTTCATATCATCTGCAAACAAAAATAATTTGACTTCTTCCTTTCCAGTGTGAATGCCCTTTATTTCTTTCTCTCATCTGATTGCTCTAGTTAGGACTTCCAGTGCTATGTTGAATAATAATGATGAAAGTGGGTATTCTTGTTGCCTAAACACATTCTTTAGATGATCTTGTAGAATAAAATTGTTGCCAGTAAACTGATTCACTATATTTTCTCCCACACAAAGTATGACATAAGAATGCACATAATATATATGTGTATATAACTAAAAAGTTTATTTCAGTTTTACTATATAGCTCTCTCCTTCTATATTATTTATACAAACTCCACCCAGTTAATGCTTTCTCAGTTTTTGTTCATCTGAAAATGTCTATATTTCACATTTGTTCTCAAAATATACTTTTATTGAGTATAGAATTCTGGGTTGAAAAATACAGAAATACCTCATTTTATTGCACTTCATTTTATTGAGTTTTGCAGGTATTGTGTTTTTTTTACAAATTGTAGATTTGTGGCAACCCTGATCAAGCAAATGTATCAGTGCTATTTCCCCAACAGCATATGATCGCTTCATGTCTCTGTGTCACATTTGATAATCCTTACAATATTTCAAATTTTAAAATTATTGCATTTGTTATGATTATCTGTGATTAGCAATCTTTGATGTTACCATTGTAATCATTTGGGGGCACCAAGAACCTTGCCCATAAAATACAATGAACGTAATTGATGAATATGTGTTTTCTAACTGCTCCAAAGACCAGCCATTCCCTTATCTTTCTCTCTCCCCAGGTCCTCTCTATTCCCTAAAGCACAACAATATTAAAAATTGGCCAATTCATGATCCAACAATGGTCTCTAGGTGTTCAACTGAGAGGAAGATCTGCACATCTCTTACCTTAAACCAAAAGCTAGAAATGACTAGGCTTAGTGAAAAATGCGTGTTGAAAGCCAAGATGGACCTAAAGCTAGGCCTCTTGCACCAAACAGCCAAGTTGTAAGGGTAAAGGAAAAGCTCTTGAAGGAAATTAAAACTGTTAAGCCAGTGAACACACAAATGACAAGAAAGCAAAAGAGCATTATTGCTGATATGGAGAAAGTTTGAGTGGTCTGGATAGAAGATCTACAACATTCCCTTGAGCCAAAACCTAATCCAGAGCAAGGCTCTGATTTTCTTCAATTCTAGGAAGACCAAAAGAAGGAATGAAGCTACACAAGAAAAGTTTGAAACTGGCAGAGGTTGGTTCCTGAGGTTTAAGGAAAGAAACCAACAGCATAACACAGAAGTATGAAGTGAGGCAGCAAATGCTGATGGAGAGGGAGGCTGCTGCAAGTTAACCGGAAGAATTTTCTTTTCTTTGTTCTCCTTTCTTCCTTCCTTCCTTTTTCCTTCCTTCCTTCCTTCCTTCCTTCCTTCCTTCCTTCCTTCCTTCCTT